CCTGCACCTCAGCATAGACAAAAGTCAAGCAACTTTCTTTCTCCATTCAGTGTAGTTATCACCTCTGAGGGTTGGAACATCCTTGAGGCAACTCATCAAGTGGTACCCTCCTAAAACCACAATGAAGTGAGATCATGACAACAATTGCATGCTTTAATCTAACGTTGGTCAAAATTAAACATACAACTGTTTATGCAATTAAATATATATCACCGTTGGGCAAAAGTAGAAATAAATGCACCTTTTATAACAATAACAAATCATGATCATGTTATTAACAACGTTGGTCATAAAATAACAGAATCATAATCACTTCAAACATGCTTTTTAAAATTTAATTTCACTTTAGTTCTATTTACTTTTTAAAAGAGCACTTTTAATTATTTGCAGCGGAAAAAACATGAATAAAAAATTCATGAACTTTTTACTTTTCAGAAGCATTTCCTTTACTTTTCTATTTTCTAAAACAAAATTTTCGTTGGACAATTTTGAATAGAAAAAACATTGTGTGAAAATTGGCCAAAAAACTGGACAGAAAAACAAATAAAAAAGAAAATGACAGCTCAGCCCGGTCTCGGCCCAGCGCATGTGCGTGCGCCGCCGCTGCCGGCCTCTCCTTCCACTTTCGACCCAGAAGGCCCATGCCACGTTAGGTTACTGATCGTGGCCGTTGGTTTTGATCGGACGATCACCCGCTCGTTCCGGTCGAACAAAACCACCGCGCCGCTCGGGGAAACCCTAGTCCATTTCCCCTTTCTCTGCCCTGCTTCGTTTTTCTCCCGCAAGGGCAATGCCCGGCCGCCGGCGGCGAATGCCACCGCGCTGCGCCAGCTTCTCTTGCCCTCCCCCTCCTTTCCTCCCCACCCGTGGCAGAGAGAGAGGCGAGCTGAGCCCTCCTCTGCTCCCCTGTGCGCCCGACAACGGCTTTCCGATGCGGCGGTGCCCGGCCTTGTCCCCCTTGCCGGCGCGTGCGTGCACCCGTAGGTGGGTGCACCGCCGTCAAGCGGTTCAACGGCGGCGCCCTTTGCCGGCGACCGCGTGGCCGTCCGGTAAGTGGGACCCGTCCTTTCGGCGGTGGCGAAGGCGTAGAGCCCCCCACTGCCCGTGTTCTTCTTCCGAACGGCTCGGCTTGCCGATGCCCATCCGGATCGAGAGGAACGGCGCGGCCTTGCGGCGGCGCTCTTTGCCAGCGAGCTGTTGCTTTTCCCTTCTCCCCTCTTTTTTTCTCTTTACAGCCTGTTTGGTTCGGGGGAAGTTGGAGTAGGGAATGGGAATTGAGAGGGTGGGAGACTAAAAATCACTTGTATGGTTGGAGGGTATGGGAATTGAGAAAGAAAAGGGATGGGGAGTTGAGGGGGCGAACTCCCGCTAATCTCTTCCCAGGGGAGGGCTGGTAATTCAGCCAGGGAATGGGAATTGGCAAAGAAAAAACAGTTTGTTTGTTGCGCCAAACAAGGGCTGGTTCAATTTTGTACATAAACAAACATGTCCTCGGCATCTTCTATTACTTTGACTCGTGAACTAAAGAGAGGAATTATTTTTTCTGTTAAATTCCCACAAGTAATTCCCAACAGTTGCCAAACGTGGGACTGGGACTAACAGTCCACTTCCCAAGCCTAATCACCCAACAAACTCCCTCTTGAAAACTCCCATTCCCTTTCCTTTAAACTACCAAACAGGCTGTTAGGGTTATTGTTTCTTTCGGGAGGGGATCTTTCTTTCTCTGTTTTTCTTTTCTACCGAAAACCATCTAAGCCTAGCAGGCTCTGAAACCATTGATGGAACCTTCGGATCGGGTGGGCTAGATTAGATCGGTAGTATACCTTCTCCTTGACTCGATGAACCCGTCGAGGTGGCCATGGTGGAGTTGTGGCGTCGGTGAGTGTGCAGCGGCGGTGGCGGTGCTTCCCGTCGCTACTGCGGCACCCTAGATCGGTAGGGAATATTGGTGGGGTTCGCGGCTGCGAGACGAACCTTGTTTTGCGTGTGGCGTCGGTGAGTGTGCAGCAGCGGTGGCGGTGCTTCCCGTCGCTACTGCGGCACCCTAGATCGGTAGGCAGCGCGACGGGGGCCTGTCAACCATAGGAGGTTGGGCGCCCCTGATCAGGGCGCGTAATCAAGGACCCGATAGGCCATTGGGCCTATGCAGAGGAGATCAACCTAACAGTTTGAAACTGCTGGGTGAGCTATATATTATGGCAGCTGATGATGGTACTGTGCATGTGTTACAATATCACCCACATACTGTTCGCCAACTTGCTCAGTACTAGTTGGGAAGTACAAATAAGAATAATTAGTTTCTTCATTAGCCAGTTTTTTTATATAATTTCTGTACAGATACGTCACACGTATCAGAGGAAAAATTCTGAGATAAGATATTTTTTATCGGGGGTCAAAACCAGATCCTTGCAGAAGGATAGCAAGCACCCATTACCAGTGAAGCGAAAATATGAACTAATCTTTTCTCTCCTGAAAGTTCTCACGTCCCAGTTTTTTCCTATCATTTTCATCTAAAACTCGAAAGTGTCTCTATACATGCTCTTTCGCTTATCGTCTACATGATTTTTATCCTCATCCTGACACCATTTTCTGTGAAAGCCAAACATCATGGTTCTCTCTGCTGAGAAGACTTCAGACATCCTAACTCCTGTCCAACAATGCTCACTACCCAGACTATTCCACCACCACCAGCATCCACATTGCCTGGATAGTAACCGTTGTTCATCTTCGTAGACGACTATTGCTGGAGTCTTGCTGATCTCTCAGAAGACTCCCAAGTTAAGGTGCTGGCATCGAGCCTCCTGTTCTCGTGGTGCCACAAAGAACTCCTGTCCTTGCTAGTCCTTTAGCTCAAGGACAAGATGCTTGTTAGAGAGGAATGTAATGCTGTATTGCTGTTTAGAGGAACTGTAGTAAGTAGTTATGTGATACCACTGCAACGAGTATGACTATGAGTACTGTAGCACACAATATTGTTCAGTCAGGCACACTATAGATAAGATTAGTTAGTTTTCTTGTTAATTGGGTTTGTTTCCTTAGACATATTACATGTGTTTCATCAGCGATATAGCTTATTTATCAGACGTCAAGTTTTCATTATAATAGGAGATATCATGTATCCATTACTAAGAAAGCAAGGGTCTTAGTCTTTTCTCTCCAAAATCTCTGAGAATGCCAGAGCTATAGACCGAAAAGACCAAACCTAAAAGCCCTCCCTAGTTTCTATTATGAGATTCATTTGGAATTATTGGTGAACTAGATACTATTGCAGTTATTATTTGCTTCATATTTCAATAGTCGCTTAAACTCTTGAACCAAAATGATTACCTTGTAAGTGGTGGGAAATTATCATTTTCTTTCTTTCAGGAAACTTGGATAACTCGGTGTGCCTTGCTTTTACTTGACACCCGAATGCCATATGGAAGCCTAAATATTGACTGCGAGGAGCATTTAGACCTGGCTGGAACAGGCTCATTTTATAACAGCGGCGAGGCAGATATAGTTGCACAACATGTCATCAATCTTGTACTGTGTGGTACGTTTCAGTATATCTTCTTTAATATGTACTGCTGCTATATTTACATGTTTGTATATTACTTGCCATTGTATTTGTTCTTAAGATGTTATGACCCCATATTTACAGCCAATATGAAATCCTTAATATTTTTGGCTGCTCTTGGGTGAGGAATATAATTGGCCTTTGTCACTTTAGTGTTCTTAGGAGAAAGATAAGACCATAGACTTAATTTTGAAGGGTATGATCCTCTGTTTATATAGTAGTTAGCCCCATTGAATTGCCCGCCCTTCACCACCCTTAGTGTTCTACTGGTTGGTGCATGAAACTTAATATGGTGTCAGAGCCAAGAGGTCTTGGGTCAATTCTTGGCTTTCCCGATTTAAATAAAAAATTGCTTGCCCTCTTTCTGTTTACGCTTATGCCTTATCAAGCCAGCCACACGTGAGAGGCATGGTTGAAGTATATATGGGTTGTTCAACCTTCTCCATCAATTCAAACATGTGCATGAAACTTAATATGATGTCAAAATCAAGGCCGAGGTCTTCGGTAGCTGGCTCGGCTCTCTAGTTTAGGACCTTTCCTTCTCCCTCTGTGCCTCCCTCTTGTTGTACACTTTTGCTCTCTCTTTGCACATTCGTTTCTCCTTGTACATATGTTTCTTATTTGATATAAATTTACTATCAGGGCCTCCCCTACAACTTTCTGGACAAAAAGAAAAGAGGAAAGAAGTTTTGTGTTCAAGTCTCAGCTTTTGCCATTTAAATAAAAGAATTGCTTCCCCTCTTTCTGTCCACATTTAGGCCTTATCAAGCCACACATGAAAGGGGGTGTTGAATTATATGTAGATTGCCCAACCTTGTCCGTCAATTTGGACTTTTATTTCTAACGGTTGGTGCATGAAACTTAATGTGTTGAAGTATATGTGGATTCCCCAATCCGTATATGGTATCAGAGCCAAGTGGCCTTGGGTTGAAGTTTCGGCTTTCACAATTTAAATAGATTTTTTGCTGACCTGTTTTTGCTCACGTTTAGGCCTTATAGAGCCACGCGTGAGACTTGAACCCAAGACCTCTTGACTCTGATACCATATTAAGTTTCATGCACCAACCAGTAGAATAAAAAATATGAATTGATGAAGGAAGTTACTTCAACACACCCTCTGATGAAGAAAGTTACTTCAGTAATGCTTTCCCTATTTAAGAAAAATAAACAAGACCAACGGTGGAGGAGCCCGATTGTATTTCGATTAAGAAAGTTGTGGGACACTGAATTCAATCCGCGAAATAATCAAGATGATATCCACCCACAAGATTTGAACTGGGTTCTGTGTAGGGACACCATCACGCTCTTGCCACTGGGCCAAGAGCCTATCTATTGCTTCCACAGTTTAAATAAAAATTGCTTGCCCTCTTTCTGTTCACGTCTAGGCCTTATTGAACCACACATGACACGGGGTGTTGAAGTATATGTGGATGTCCAACCTCTTAGTCAGTTCAGACTTATGGCTCTACTGGTTGGTGCATGAAACTTAATAAGCCTCTAAGAAGAGTATCTAACAAAAAACTAATAGAATGTTAGCCAAATAATGTCTCAACATCCAAATAATTCCTTTGTCTAACAGTATCTTATCTTATCTCATCTCAGCTAATTATAAGTACAACAATGCAATGGAATATAACCATCTAAAACCCATGAGTTACACTACTGTGGTTACTATTCAGGGCATCCGAATGGCACTTGAACAGTAATTTTCCAGATGAATACCTCTCTCCTTTGCGGCAGCTCATCCTCATGCTTTTGTGGCAGCTAATTGCCCCTCGATTGGAGGGCATTAGAACTCGAGAGGTAGTTGACGACCATGGGCAGCCATTAGCGTGACTTGACGTTGTTG